TATTTTTATTTACGAAAAACAATTTTTCCTTAAAATTATAAACAATATTAGTACGAATTAATTTGAGTTTGTTTAAAGTATACTTTAAAGTATTTAAATTTATAATTTGCTAGAAGAAATTGTAATTTGAAATATTTTTAAAATGCACTTTGAAACGCATAAAAAATATTTTTTTTTAACAATTGAAATATTTTTCATTTTATAAAATTTCAGATGCAATTTTATTTGGTTTGATGTATAAATTTATGACATTTTGTTCAAAAATAAGTTTTTTGTATAACAAATAATAAATAATAAATAATATATATCCAAAATTTGTAAAAAAATGTACTTGATTTTGTACAGAAATTCCTTAAATTTAAATATTTAATAGATTTGTAAATAGAATAACATAGGTAAATTTATTCACGCATTTTAAAAGATTTTTAATATTTAAAAATACAAAAAACACATTTTTTCAAAGACAAAATGATACTAAAGATCCAAAAAACTATGAAAAAACTTATCGCACCCAAAAATCCAAAAAAATCCCTAAATTCTTTAACAAAATCTACATTTTTGTTCCGCATTATAATTCCCAAAAATTCTGTTAGGCCGTGCGCTTGAAACGTTTTTAAATTTTTAAAAATACAAAAAACACATTTTTTCAAAGAAAAATTATATTAAAAATCCAGAAAACTATAAAAAAAATTATCACATCCAAATATCCAGAAAAATTTAAAATTTCTTTAACAAAATCTACATTTTTGTTCCGCATTCTGATTCCCAAAAATTCTGTCAGGCCGTGCGCTTGAAACGTTTTTTAATTTTTTTCAAATTCATAAAACGTACTTTTTGAAAAAAAATTATATTAAAAATTCATAAAACAATAAAAAATATAGTTTTATCAAAAAACCCCAAAAAATCCAAAATTCCTTTAACAAATTCCCTCAATTTCGTTCCACACGCCCGAATAAAAACTAAACCTTTCACGAACCAACAAAAACATCACAAAAAATTAGCCTAAAACATTATTTTACATTTTACAATTAATTTGGTCTATGAGAAATTTAATATATTAAATTTATTTGTAATATATTAAATATTATTATTATTATACAAAGCATATATACATTAATATCATTTTTTTGCATCATAATAAAGATGTGGTATAAAAATTCTAATAATCGATAATTTAATAATATTAATTAATTAATTAATATATATTTGCTATTATATATTATCAATATATTATATATTATCAATACGTGCATAATTATAATCTTTGGTACAATATTAGTATTAATAAATTAGACGGAGAGTTAGTAACCTCCAATATTTACATTTAATTATAGACTAGTGTTAGTACTTTCACAAATTTGTACAAATGAACGATTATAATATATTATACTAGTATTAAATAAATATTTACATATTTAAATATTAATATTGAATTAGTCCCACATGCTGTTATTTACATATATAAAATATTTATTAGTCCGACACCTGGTGTTAGTATTTTATTAAAAAGTTTTCGTACCTTAAAAATTGATGATTGACACTTTCTGGAATTTACACTTTTTTGTCACCAAGTTGGTGCTAAATGGTTCCAGGATTTAAATTTAGATGTTTCTTGGTTCAGTTTTAGATGCTGATGATCCAAAATGGTCAAAAAATTTATCTTGTTCTACATTTCTTGTGGTTAAAGTTCATTTTTGCCCTTGGCTGTTGTAATCCAAAATATTTCTGGTGTTTTTTAAAGAAGCTTATGATGATTTTTAGTACCATTTTTGGTTTCAAAAACCTGGTGTTCAAAAAATGCAAAGCCAATTCCTCGACGTTTTGACCCTAAAAATGTTTGGATGCCAAAATTTGGCTTTTTTGTCCAATTTAAAATGACCAAAGTGCAGTAAACTAAGAGTAAAAAAAGGGTATAACCTCTGATTTTTTTTTTACTGTGCTCCAATTTGCATGAAATTTTGGATTTAGGTTCATCTTACTCCCAAGTTCAAAAGTAAAAACAATTCGGGTTCAGGGGGGTTGTAATTCACATTCCATCTAGAATTCACTTCGTTATAAACATCTTGATGGATTCTGGCAGATTCATTACTTTAGTACAAACTATTTTCAGAAAACTCACGATTTTATAAAAACTTTTTGTCCCAACTTTTTTAAAAATCGAACTTATTTTCATTATATCTCGAAAAGAATAAATGATACGTATAAAAGCATATAGTTAAAAATCAAAGAAATCTTTCTGGCTTATTATTGTTTTTTATTATTTTTCTTTCACACAAAAATTGACAGAGTTATGATTGTTTAAAGAGTGCGCGGCCGCCCAATCAGAGTCTCTCTCGAGCCCTTCAACCCTTTGCCGTTTTAAAATGAGAAAAGTTACGAAAAAAAATATTATGAAGAAAGTTGTAGCCCTTTTATTAACCTTTCAAATGGTATATTACAAATTGTGATGGAGCCGAAATTAAAGGAGTTATGACCCGAAAACTAATCGCATTTTTGTCGAATTTTGTTTATATTTTGAACAATGTATAAGTAGGCAGTATTTGGTTTCCAAAACTATCGACTTATATATATGTATATATGATTATGTAAATTTACAATAAAAACGTATATTTTGAAATAATATAAATTAATTGGATTTTAAAAAAAAATTTTTTTAATTATTTGGAAATGTATCTATCTTTATGGTACAGAATTTTGGCAGGCGATTTATTTTTATAGTAAAGTATCTTGTGACTGAATTGTCCACGTGTTAAATAAATTAATATAATTTTATATCACTATAGTCAAACAAAAGTTTAATAATTGCAGTAACGAGAACAACAGATATACGAGTTTAGACTAAATTATACTGGGTACTAGTGCTATAATAACTGTTTTTATTCAAGGGTAGTTTTAAGAGTTAAACAAATTATGTATAAGGTAATTATTTTCGAGAAATTGAAATAACATTTATAGCATTTTGAATTTCTTAATTTTCTTTCAATTTCAAAATAATTTTTTTAAACAATTTTTTACCAAGGAGTTGTTTTTAAAGGTCTAAAAGGGGTTAAAAATTTGATAATCAAGATAGAAAACATAAAATATCATTTACTTTATACGTAATTCATATTAAATCATACCGAAATTTATTTTTAAGTGTTTTTTTTCAATTTAGAAGTTGTTTGGAGGGTTTTAGGGTTTTCGCGGAGTTGAAAATTATTTTACTGCAAGGTGAATGTATTAAAAAATATTTTTTAATTATATGCTTTAACATTAAAAACGTTTTCTAGCGATACAACGGCTCAATGTTTACTTAGTTATTATATATTATATATATATATATATATATATATATATAATCTACATATATAATATATATATAAATAAGTCGGGTTTTTCTTCCTGACGATATAACTCCAGAACACACGAACTGATTTCGACAATTTTGCATTCGGTGGAAAGGTGCATTTAGTGGTGCATGGCATCGTGCCTTGATGTAAATTGCTGGAACTTCACGCACCGTAATTGAAAATTCGAGTAGTGACATTAGTAAGAATTATCAGAATTATGCTTGGTTAAGTCAACGAGCAATTCTTGCCGCAAAGAATAATGATATACACGTACTGAATTTCACCATTCAATCAAAACTTGCTGTCGATTTGGTGACATACCAATGATTCCGACTGATCTTTCGTTTGACTTCAAACGATTGCAATTTCCAGTTCGCCTTGCGTTTGCAATAACAAGTCGCAAGGCCAATAGCTTAGTGTTTGCGGGATAAATTTCAAATAGATTATTTAAAAAATCATTGTTTTTCACATGGGCAGTTATACGTTGCCTGTTCACGAGTTGGAAAACCATCCGCTTTGTGTTAACGTCACAACAAAAACAAAAAATGTGGTTTATCAAAGAGCACTTCAATGAAACGGATAATTTGCGGATTCACTTTCATTTACTTAGAGAAGTTCAACTAAAAAACACTTCATTTTTGTAATCGAAATAAATTTATTACTGTTGTGCAATAAAATCAAATTTTTCCTTTTCAAATATAAAACAAACAAAAAATTTCTTCATCTTTCTCACGAAACCATCTGGTGGCGAAACGGAGTTCGTCGGGTTTGCTAGTTATATATATATATATATATATATATATATATATATATATATATATATATTAGTTATAGTTAAGAGTCGTAACCCCTTCGGGGGGTGGTGGCTGAACCCAAATTTCACTTTTGAACTTGAGGGTAAGATGAACCTAATTACAAAATTTCATGCAAATTAGAGAACAGTAAAAAAATTCAGAGGTTATACCCTTTTCTCGTCTCAGTTTGCGGCACTAAGGGACCGATTCTGCCGCAATTTTATGATAAGGTCATGTTATGAAGAATTTTCCATAGTAATATAGACAAATGTTATGCGGCTGGTGTTCAGTCAGGCGAATTTTTCAGGTTTTCTGATGCAAAACATAATCTAAAAGCCGCACAAATGTCAAAAAACGATGTTAGATAAGTGTGTGTTTCTGATACCACTATATAATATACGAGTGACGTTGCAGTTTATGTATAAAACTCCGGAATGAACAGTAAATACATGATATTTTGACAGCATTCAGTATGATTCATTCGCATAATGTATGGGAGTCGGAGCGTAACATAGCTATGCCGTAACATTTCTCTGTTATGCGGCAGAATCGGCCCATAAATGTCATTACTCTACATTGATATTACTCCACTAAGTACACTCCACTAAGTTAATCACCATCCTAGAACTTCTTTTTCATCTTTTATGTTTCAAAGAACCATCTCATTACGAATCTTGGCTTCATCTGTCATTTATCTCTGCAGCACATTGTTCTTTCAATACCATTTTTTCTTTCTTTTTTCTCAATACCCATAAGCCCCTCCAGCAAAAGCCAGCACAGTGCCACTGGCCGCCGCCGCCTGCTGCTGCTGCTGCTGCTGCTGCATCGCCGCCACTGCCTGATGTGCCGCGAACGCCTGCGTCAGTGCGGCACTCGGTCAGTGCTGCGCCCCGTATTTCATACGTTTTTGCTTTTGACGCTGATTGCAAAACCAGACACGAACCACGTTTTTCTTCAGATCCAACTTTTCGGCAATCGCTGCTATCTTCTCACCTGATGGCCTGGGTTGCACCTGGGGGGTGAGAAATAGATATTTATAGACGCTGGATAAGAAATAGACATTTTTTATCTTTTCTGGAAGTGTGTCTCCAGAAAACAAAAATAGATTTATAGACGCTGCATTATGGTACCCATTCACTAGGCAATCGGCAGATTTATTATTATTTATTATGAAATGAGCAAGAGGCAGATACAAAATAGAGATGAAACATGATGTCATGAGCAATATTTTCGAATTGGCAAGACATCGCCTATTATATGTTTCAACAAGCATTATAAAAAAATTAACAGTACAAAAGAATCATTAGCACCCGACTTGAAGATTTTTATGAAGATCCGTAGTAAAATGATAAAAATTAATAGTTCAGGCGACTAAAATGATGTCCGCAGTTCTGGCGGAGGGCGGAGAGACCAGATTTTACCTGAATATTTTGCCAAATTTATGAGACCATAGTAATAAAATCACTCGAAACTATACCTTTTTTCATAAAATACAAAAATATATTTTAAAAATCACATAGGTAAAAATATGTAGGTGAAATTCTATATTTATTTCTGCATAATATTTAATATTTATTTTTATTTGAAAATTATTATAAATCCATGCGTTTCAGATAACATCCTTGCTTTTATTCGGTTGATTATACAGTCAAGAATAATACTTTATCTAAGTCAACCATTTGAAATAGTTTAAGAATAAAAATCATAATAATAATAAACTAATCTAAAATTACTTGAAAAGCGCACTATTACAAAATATATATTTAGATTTTGCAACTAACCATACAAATAAGCATGAATAATATTTATTCAAAGAACAATAAATAATGAACTATTTATTTATACGTTTCGACACGGTCCGTGTGTCATCATTCAGTATTTTTTTAAAATATTTATACAGTATAACACCAGGAAAAACAATCAAAAAAATTGAAACTAACATTATTGAAAAATAAAACATAATAAATTAGGTAAAAAAATTGTTTTGAAGTTAAAAAAAATATTTTATTACTACCTGATGAATATATTAACAACTGTATTATTAATTGTATTATTAATAAATATTACTTCGATAAATATATAAAAACAGATAAAATATTACGTTGTATTAATGCATTGCATTGTAAAAATTGCTGTAGGTAAAATATGTGTTTATAAATACATACTTTAATTAACATACTTCTTTCACTGTTCATTATTATTAGTACGAAATATTATAGAATAATATGCTAACTTTATGGGTACATATTATTATTCATTAAATAAAGTAGGTACTTTTATATTCACAATATTATTTAAATTATTCAATAATGTCTGGGTATTACTTTTGGAAAAAGGTAACATTGCGTTTGATGCATTGATCCTGAATCCAGGAATATTCGTACCGAAAGTCCACAAATAAATTTAATCTGATTCTTCCAAAGTCAATAATATAAGAAAAATATTGTTTTTTATTTCGAATAAATATGTAACAATAAGAATATACCTAACAAACTTCTTTATATATTATAAATAAAATCTTAGAAATGAATATAGTAAGAACGGCAATGCTTTTTATAAACTACAAAAAATTGATATATTGATAATAAAAATTTGATTTTTAATTCGTGTTTTTTCCTTCAAAAATAAATTATTTAAATTTATAATTTTATTTAATTTAATAATATTGAATTTGTTTTAAAAGTTGTCCGTTTTTCATTTGCATCTCAAAAAACATGAGTCATTCTATTGGAATATAATTTCACTGCTCAAATCGTAAATGTAGACTTATATTCCAAGATTAACGCCATGTTTCAGAATAAAATTAGGCGCTGAAATAATGTAAAACGCGAATAATTTGTTATAACTGCTTTCGGACTACGTTTGAACAATATTTTGAGCTATTTTTTCGCGAAAAAATTGATTTCCGAATTCGTCTGCTGCAAATGTACAAAATTAATGCTAAATAAAAAACTTCAATATAATTTTTATATAAACAATCAATGTTTAAATAAAATGATTTAACGAACAAAAATTTGCAATAAAAGTCGACTTTATCTCACTACACGTTCGAAATATACATACTTTTTTCTCTAATGTTCAAGAAAAATGAATGAAATTTTGTTCGATTGGGACACCGAAAAATTTTACAACTGGATATTCATTGGTCATTTTATCGTAAATTGGCTAAATTTTGTCGTTTGTCTGGTTGCCTAGTATATGGGTACCATTAAGGGTCATCTCATAAATCTTTTATCTTACCTGGAAGTATGCCTCGAGGCTTCGTTTCTCAGGAGCGGCGATGGAGGTCCTTTTGCGTTTCTTTTCGCCTGCAGGAAGGACACTAGGAGCATCAGGATCTCGTCTTTTGTTCTTGGCCTGGGCTTCGGCTTCCTCCAACCAGGCCTGGAGGATTGGCTTGAGGGCTATCATGTTGTTGTGAGATAAAGTTAGGGATTCGAAACGACAAATGGTACTTTGGGACAAGGCTCCGACGCCTGGGAGCTTCAGATTGGCCAGGGCTTTGCCTACATCAGCCTAGAAAGAAAAAAAAGATAGATTTAGTAATTGGTTTGTTTATATAAAAACATATTGATGAAAATATGTCATTTTTACATTAATTTACCCGTAGGGTAGTTATAGTAATGGACCGAAAGTCGAAAATGAAAATTTTTGCATTTCTCGACGTTTCGAAGGTTTCTGAATCTTTCGGCATACCTCATAAAAAGTGGATATGTGTGTGTGAGTAAGTGTGTGTGTGTGTGTAAGTGTGTGTGTGTGTAACCGTGTGTGGGTGTGTAAGTGTGTGTGGGTGTGTTTTGTTTATCCGCATTTTTTCGTCCACGTTTGTTTTCGGGCGCACGGATCAACCAATTTGAATGGTTTAACTAGTCGGGCGCATGGCATCGTGCCTTAAGGCAAAATGGCTAGAACTTCCCGTACCAAAAATTATTTTTCTTAAAAAAGATTAACATTTTTGAAAAAAATTTACTCTGAAAAAATTAGATTTTTGAAAAAAAGACTTTTTGAAGAAAAATTTATTTTGAAATATTTTGGAAATTCTGAACTTTTTTTTCAAAGCAATCGTACTGCTTTAACTGCATAGATACAAAATGCAGAAGCGCGTAAGCGCCGCGTCACCGTCTAACGGGTTAACATTGGTACGGGGAACCCATAATAATGTAAACAAAATTTAAACTTACGATTTAAACTCGTATTGTTAAAATCTCTATAAAATATCTATGCATATGTCTAATGATCATTTTTGACCGCCAAAATGCTTTCGTTTTTACTTTTTTCGTTGGATCTCCGAAATCGCTAGACCTGCCTTCATGAAAATTTCAATGAAAAATCAGTTCTTCATCTTGTTAATACAAGTAAAATGTTTTTTGAATTATTAAAATCGGACGCTCCGTTCTCTTAAAAAACTGAGTTACCGTTTTTGGCACTTTTTGCCCCGTATCTTCGGAACGGCTAGACCTACCTTCGCCAAAAACTAATCAGCACGCCTCCTTATCAATACGAATCCAATGTTTTTTGAATTATTCAAATCGCTTCATCCGTGTTCCCGAACTCGTCGATGAAAATTTGTATTCGCACACACATATACATCCATTTTTTCTAAAGTATGCCAAAATGTTCAGAACGTTTTGAAACGTAAAGATGTATAAAAATTTTCATTTTAGATTTTTTTTGCGATTACTATAACTTGACCTACGGGAAGTTAAAAAACATTCGATCCGTATTGACAGGGAGATGTGCTGATTAGTTTTTGGCGAAGGCAGGTCCAGCCGTTAAGGAGATACGGAGCAAAGAGTGCAGAAAATACAAATCGAGTTTTTGAGAGAACGGAGTTTCGGATTTGAATGATCTAAAAAACATTTAATTTGTAATGATTGGGGGAAGAGGTGATTAGATTTTGGCAAAGACAGGTTCCGCCATTTCGGAGATACGGAGCTAAATGTACAAAGAATGGCAGTTTTTGAGAGAACTAAGCGTCCGATTTGAATGATCTAAAAAACTTTCTGCTTGTATTGACAAAACAATTGCTTTTGAGGATAAAAAATTATTACATCTTTTCTTATTTTCCATAAAATATTTCTGTAATTTTGGATTAAAAATTCAAAACAAAAAAATAGCCAGGCTAAGCACAGTCTAAGCGCCACTCTGGTACAAATGTTTTCGCAAGTGCGTTTAGACTGTTGATGTAGCAGCACTTTTCCAATTTTGTGAAAATTATTGAAAAATGTGAAAATGCCGCCGAGCTAAGCGCAGTATAAGTAAAATGTCGCACAGAATTATTTGCAAATGCGTTTAGACTGTGACTATACAGGAGCACTTTTTCAATTTTGTGTAAATTAAGGCAACTATTTTATATGATTTATATATTATATATGACTATATTTATGATTTACATTTGATTTGCTCACTCAGATATAACAAGATAGCAAAAATAATGAAAGTTACAGTATTTGTAATAATATATTTAAAAACGTTTAAAATTTCTTGAATATTTCATTACGGTACGGGAAGTTCCAGCAATTTGCCTTTATACGCGATGCCATACACCACTAGTTTGTAGGATTTTTATGAGTATACAGAGTTGTTGTAGAGTTTAATAGTCAATATAAATAGTTTAATTTTTCTAATATTTTTTATAAGTACACGATTTTAGAGTATACCGAGCCATTGTAAAGTCTTTTAACATTCGACAATAATATAGAATATTTAATTCTAAACAAATTTACCAAATACACTATTTACTTCAAACAAAAATTTTAAGACATAAATTGCGAATTCAAACGCAACCGTATTTATATACTTAAATATATAGGAAAAACACTAAATTTTCAGTTTTTGTTCAATAACTTTTGTATAAAATGCAGAACTTGGTTCTAAAAAAACATATGAACAAATATTTTGTATTATGAACCTTTACTTATAATATTATAAAATAATACTTTTACTAAAATACTATATTCGTAAAAACATCTGCCTGACAGTATACGCACTAAAAAAACCACAACAATAAAAATACAGCAAATAAATAAATTATTAGTATAAAAAATAATTAATACAACATAAAAACACCAAAATAAAATTTACTTAATATTTTTTTTTATAAATAAATAATGAAAAAATTAAAATAAACAAAAACCTACCTCTGTCAGGCTGAGGTTCGCCAGCGCTTTGCCTACGTCAGTCTGCAATATTTAAAAATACCGTTGTAGCAAAAAATTTTGACTCAAAAATTCAGCAAAAATTTGCAAAATTACGCCAATTAATAATAATTAATTAGACACTAATTAGAAATAAATTGGGGGGCGGTGCATGTATGGTGAGGCCCATATTAGCCCGGTAATAAAAATTTTGAAATTAAAAATAGAAAGTGTGTTCTAGGGTAGTTTTTGAGTATATCGAGTTGTTATAGAGCATTATAATGTTAGACAATATTGTAGATATCAATTTGAACAAATTTTTAAAATATTGAATATTTTAAACAAAAATTTTAAAAGATACAAGTAAAAATTTACCAGTACAAAAATGTACCTTTGCTAAGTGACACTTGTTTATGGCGTATGTAAAAATATGTTATTTTTTTCAATGCGATTTATAATATACCGAGTTGTTGTAGGGTGTTGTGATGTTAGACAATATTGTAGATATTCAATTTTGAACAAATTTTCCAAATATATTGATTACTTTAAACAAATATTTTAAAAGATACAAAATTACCAGTAGAAAACAGTACCTTTGCTAAGTAGTGAAATTTGTTTTAACGTATGAAAAAATATGTTACCACATTTTCAATTACGATTTATAAGTATACCGAGTTGTTATAGGGTATTGTAATGTTAGACAATATTGTAGATTATTCAATTTTGAACAAATTTTCCAAATATATTGATTACTTTAAACAAATATTTTAAAAGATACAAGTAAAATTACCAGTACAAAACTGTACCTTTGCCAAGTAGTGAACATTGTTTATTACGTATGAAAAATATGTTACTTACATTTTCAATTACGATTTATAAGTATACCGAGTTGTTATAGGGTGTTATAATATTAGACAATATTGTGTAGACTATTCAATTTTGAACAAATTTTCCAAATAGATTATTAGTTTAAACAAATATTTTAAAGATACAAGTAAAATTACCAGTACAAAATGTACCTTTGCTAAGTGAACATTATTATTACGTATGCAAAAAATAAGTTACTACATTTTCAATTACGATTTATAAGTATACCGAGTTGTTATAGGGTTGTTGTTTGTTAATGTTAGACAATATTGTAGATATTCAATTTTGAACAAATTTTCCAAATATATTGATTACTTTAAACAAATATTTTTAAAAGATACAAGTAAAATTCCAGTACAAAACTGTACCTTGCCAAGTAGGTGAAACAGTGTTATTACGTATGAAAAAATATGTTACATTTTCAATTACGATTTATAGTATACCGAGTTGTTATAGGGTGTTGTAATATAGACAATATTGTAGACTATTCATTTTGAACAAATTTTCAAATATATTAATTACTTTAAACAATATTTTAAAGATACAAGTAAAATACCAGTACAAAACTGTACCTTGCTAAGTGAACATTGTTTATTACGTATGAAAAAATATGTAACTACATTTTCAATTACGATTTTATAAGTATACCGAGTTGTTTATAGGGTGTTGTAATGTTAGACAATATTGTAGATTATTCAATTTTGAACAAATTTCCAAAATATCAATACTTTAAACAAATATTTTTAAAAGATACAAGTAAAATTACCAGTACAAAACTGTACCTTGCTAAGTGAGCATTGTTTATTAGTATGAAAAAATATGTTATTACATTTTCAATACGATTTATAAGTATACCGAGTTTGTTATAGGGTGTTGTAATGTTAGACAATATTGTAGATTAATCAATATTGAACAAATTTTCTAAATATATTGATATTTTAAACAAATATTTTAAAAGATACAATTAAAATTACCAGTACAAAACTGTACCTTTGCTAAGTGAACATTGTTTATTACGTATGTAAAAATAGTTACTACATTTTCAATTGCGATTTATAAGTATACCGAGTTGTTGTAGGGTGTTGTAATGTTAGACAATATTGTAGATTATTCAATTTTGAACAAATTTTCCAAATATATTGATTACTTTAAACAAATATTTTAAAAGATACAAGTAAAATTACCAGTACAAAACTGTACCTTTGCTAAGTGAGCATTGTTTATTACGTATGAAAAAATATGTTATTACATTTTCAATTACGATTTATAAGTATACCGAGTTGTTATAGGGTGTTGTAATGTTAGACAATATTGTAGATTAATCAATTTTGAACAAATTTTCTAAATATATTGAATATTTTAAACAAATATTTTAAAAGATACAATTAAAATTACCAGTACAAAACTGTACCTTTGCTAAGTGAACATTGTTTATTACGTATGTAAAAATATGTTACTACATTTTCAATTGCGATTTATAAGTATACCGAGTTGTTGTAGGGTGTTGTAATGTTAGACAATATTGTAGATTATTCAATTTTGAACAAATTTTCCAAATATATTGATTACTTTAAACAAATATTTTAAAAGATACAAGTAAAATTACCAGTACAAAACTGTACCTTTGCTAAGTGAGCATTGTTTATTACGTATGAAAAAATATGTTATTACATTTTCAATTACGATTTATAAGTATACCGAGTTGTTATAGGGTGTTGTAATGTTAGACAATATTGTAGATTAATCAATTTTGAACAAATTTTCTAAATATATTGAATATTTTAAACAAATATTTTAAAAGATACAATTAAAATTACCAGTACAAAACTGTACCTTTGCTAAGTGAACATTGTTTATTACGTATGTAAAAATATGTTACTACATTTTCAATTGCGATTTATAAGTATACCGAGTTGTTATAGGGTGTTGTGATGCTAGACAATATTGTAGATTATTCAATTTTGAACAAATTTTCCAAATATATTAATTATTTTAAACAAATATTTTAAAAGCTACAAGTAAAATTACCAGTACAAAACTGTACCTTTGCTAAGTGAACATTATTTATTTCGTATGCAAAAATATGTTACTACATTTTCAATTACGATTTATAAGTATACCGAGTTGTTATAGGGTGTTGTAATGTTAGACAATATTTTAGATTATTCATTTTTGAACAAATTTTCCAAATATATTAATTGTGTTAAACAACTATTTTGAAAGACACAAAATTAATAGTACAAAACTGTGCCTTTGCTAAGTGAACATTGTTCATTAGCACTTTGCATTTTAACAACCACATTAGCACTTTGCACAAGTTAACAACCACACATATTGCTCTATAACATCTAAACCGTAAAAGATACGAAAAAACTTTGTTCGTACGAAAGATGCAGAATAAAATTATGAATAAAATGGTATATGAATGGTTAAGTGTGTTCATATAATTTTCTCGAGATTTTCCGATTTTCCTGAAATTTTACGACGGCAACTCGCCTGTAGGCCACACCGTTCGGAATTCGAAGTTGCGATATATGGGAAAAAAACTAAGAATTTTGAGACCTTTCTAACGATGTATAAAACTGTCAATCCATTTTGTACAAATGCGTCAAACATTCCATTAATATTAGACAAACAGTTTAAAACATACTGGGAATGTAATAAATAAATGCATAAGTCAATAACGAATGGGCTAATATTAAACGATATTAATGTATGAATAGGGCTAATATGGGTCTGTATTCGGTTATCATACATGCACAAAGAATTCAAATAATATTTATTATCATTGTAACGTCTTTCTTATAAACTAATAAATAAAAAAAATAGTATTTTTTTTAATATTTACAAATTTATTTTACCTGTGTCACTCCGAGCTTGATCCGCCTCTGTTTAAAACGTTCAGCAAAAGCTTCTAATTCTCTTGGGTCAGTATCAGCATCTGGATGCAAACCTGCTGCTGCAGCAGCAGCAGCTGCTGCTGCCATCGCTGGGTGATGGGCATGGTGCATACTCTGAAAAAAATATATATCTTATATATGAAATTCTTCTGTAACTATGTATGAATGACTAAACCTCCTAAACTATAATTCGGATTTTCATGAATCTTCCTGAAGTTTGTTCGGCAAATTTTCTAGAATTTTTAGATTCATAGATATGTAGTTAGATTGTAGAAATAAATGGAAAAAATTACAAAAAACCGCTTATCATTGTTTGCCCTTGAAAATATTTAAGGCATGGTTTGACATTAAAAACAAATGAAGACTGTCGTTTGCCAAACATTTCTATTCACTTATAGGCTAAGACAATATTAAAATATAATAAATTCATGATTATAAATAAGGAAAATGTAATGCCTACTTTATTATTGCCGAAAAGCAGTTGAGATGTGCCAAAAATTAAAACTAGTTGGTATTGGTATTTAGCCTTGAGGCAAGTTACATGAACTTCCCGATATGTGTAAATAATCGACTTAATCAATAATAAACAAATTAATTTATTAGTGATTAAAAGTATTCCGAGTGGATTTATTATACATAATTGAAAACGAACGAACACGTTAACTCGGAGTGTTTTCTAAAAGCAAATTTTCACAAATCAATAATTTTAATAATTGAACCAGTTTCCGTAGGACTTTAATGCTTTAGTATGTTCATTATTACCAAGTCCTCTATCGTTATACCAAGTAAATCGTCTAATTTTAATTTTAACAAATGTCAAAAGAACTACTTATTTTCTCAAACTTTGATGATTTTTTAAAATTAAACTACTTGTCGTAGAGCCGTAATAATTCAGTAAGTTCTATAAGACCATGGTATATACAGCCAAAAAACGTTCCCTAAAAATCGGCCTAAATTTTTTTTCAACAGTTAATTACAAGAAAATGGCTCGGTAGATTTTCACCTAAAATTAATCAGTATCATTCCCAACTAATATCTTTCGAACAGTTTTTGATTTTTCAATATCGGTTCGGTAGTATGAGCTTAAATGTGGACGAAAGGTTTAACACTTTTTTCCAAATTACAAAGAAACGGCTCGGCCGATCGTCGCAGAAAACGATAATCCTCATCGAGATACATCCAATGGTTTTTAAATTTCTGAAATCGGTTCAGGCGTTTTTGAGCAAACGTCGATAAAAGTTTTAATTTTGACAAATGCCAAAAAGACCATACTAATTTTTGCAAACTTTGACGAATTTTTAATGCTAAACAAGTTGTCGTAGGGCCGTAATATTTTAGTATGACATAGAAGACTATGGTATCTACCGTCAAAAAAATAATAATAAAAATCGCCGAATTTTTTTTTTTAAACTTTATTACAAGAAAATGGCCCGACCGATTTCTACCAAAAATTAATTAGCACGATTCCCAACCAATATCTTTCGAACGGTTTTTAAATTTTCAAAATCGATTCAGATTTGCGGGCTAAAGCGTGAACGAAAAACTTTTCACTTCTCTGCTATTTATAAAGAAACGGCTTGGCCAATCGTCGCACAAAACTGACAAACAATAGTCCTCATCGAGATACATCGAATGGCTTTTAAATTTTTGAAATCGACCCTGCCGTTTTTGAGAAAACGGCGATTTACGGCAAAAAATCTGTTCACATACATGCACACACACACACACATACTTTTTCTAAATTTGGTCTCATTCGATTCAGAATGGCTTGAAACGTCGAGAAAACAAAATTAGCGACTCGGATTTTTTTATGAAAACATAAACTTCGGGAAGTTAATAACGAATTCAAAGTCGTTTTTTTCAAAACTTTTATATTGCAGTGTATAAAAGTGTTCCCTAGGAAATGTTGTAAATTTTATCTTATTTCACCCTGTCTAACTAAAAAGGAGTGGTTTCATATGAAATTTTTGAGTTATTTGACAAAAACCAAAAAAAAATGTCCCGAATAAAATATAGTAAATTTAGTAAATATTTATTACTTAAATATCGAATTCAAACTCCATCCCTTACCTGTTGGTGCTGATGATGATGATGATGATGAGCCATCATATGATGATGAGCCCCGACGACCCCAGCGGCGTGCCCCGCCACAACCCCGGCATGGTGATGATGGTACCCTCCATGGTGCCCATGGAGCTGACCTCCGTTACCGCCACCGCCGCCGTTGACCACCGATCCGGAGGTCGCATTGAAGGCGCCCATCGGTAACATCGAGTCCGCCATGGGAGTCAGAGATGTCATGTTACCCCCGTGGGTCAGTGGTTCCAGAATGGGGTCGACTAGGCCTCCGCCGCCACTGGAGTCCATCGAGTGCTGCTGCTGGTGCTGGTGGCCCTGGTGGTGGTGTGCGTGGTGACCCTGGTGGAACAACGGTTTCTATGAACCGGTGAGGTAGCAGAGTTAGGTGAATTGTGATAGAAATGGTATGGTAATAATGATATATGAGGTAGTAGATTGATTGTGTATATGTATATATATATATATATATATATATGTATATATATATATATCATATATAAAATTATTCTGTAATGGGGTATGAATGATTAATCCTCCTAAACTATTATTCCGATTTTGATAAATCTTTCTGAAGTTTGTTAAGAGAATAAAATTGATGTCTAAAGTCTTACACTTGTTTCTTAAATAATTCTATTAAAATTAATTTATAATAATTTGTTTTGTATTTCAGCAGAAACGATTTTCTACTTCCTCAAATGTAAAAAACTTGTTTATAAAAATTTATCATAACAATTTCAATAATTGATAAATTTTCTAAAATATCTAATTCAATAATAATTTGAAAATATCAAAAAACTATTTGTTTAAAATCCTAACAGAAACGATTTTCTACTTCCTAAAATTTGTAGCATTAATTTGCTTGCCTCGAATTAAGAAATGTAAAAAACTTGTATATAGAAATTTAACGTAATAATTTCAATTGTAAGTAAATTTTCAAAAATTTCTGGTTTAATAATAAATTGAGTATATCAAAAAATCATTTGTTCTGTATTCTAGTAGAAACGATTTTCTATTTTCTAGCATTTTAGTACAAAATTTGTTTGCTTATAGTGAAATATTCAAAAAACTTGAATTTAAAATATTTTGACTTTTTATATGACAGAACAATTGCTTTTAGAAAAAAAATTCATTCGATTTCTTTTTACTTTAAATAAATATTTTTGCCTTGGTGATTCAGCTTGCATAATTCTTATAAATATTAGGCAATGTTACAATATTTATAATAATCTATTTGAAAACATTTAATATTCCTCGAACATTTCGTTACGGTACGGGAAGTTCCAGCTATTTGTTAAAAAATTTTCAATGACAAACAAAAATGTAGGCAAAAAACTACATTTTTGTTTGTCACTGAATAATTTGTTTACGTCAAAACGTTTACTAACGTTTTTGTATATAAATAAAACTACGAACAAAACTACTTACTACAATTTAATCATAATTAAATAATATTCACAATAAAACATCCTACTAAACGTAAATGAACATCTTTCAAAAACGTTTGACATTTGACGTATTAGCCACCGTCCATTGTTTTATTCAAATTACGCTTCTACAAAAAAAATCAAATTGAAAATGTAAAGTTTCTACGCGATTTTGAAATAATATTTCACCTTTCCGACAACCTACCGATTGGCACGAATTTTTCAAGACTAAGACTGGCCAAATCGGTTTAGCCGTTATCGAGTTTTAGCGGATCATTTTATCGAGAACTCCATTCTTATATATAAGAAGTTATATACTTTTCCAATTTTGTTAAAAGAAAACTATTAAAAAATGTGAAAATGCCGCCAAGCTAAGCACAGTACAAGTGAAAATGTCGCACAGAATTATTTGCAAATGCGTTTAGACTGTGACTATACGGGAGCACTTTTTCAATTTTGTGTAAATTAGGCAACTATTTTTTTTTAAATTGAATTCGAAATGAAATGACGATTGTTAATGTTCTGTAGATAAATTGATTTATTTATGATTTACATTTGATTTGCTCAGATATAACAAGATAGCAAAATGACTGTAAGGTTATTACAGTATTTGTTATTAACGTTTAAAATTTCTCGAATATTTCATCAAGGTACGGGAAGTTGCAGCAATTTGCCTTAAGGCACGATGCCATACACCACTAGTTATATTTGTACATTTATGTCGATTACACTCGTAAGGGATGATGATAACACTCTTGTATCCTCTCACTAATTGCAATCCCATCAAACATCTCTCGATACACTTTCATGTTACTCCACCACTAAGTGTTATCACTTGATAACCTCTCCACCGCCGAAGCTCTCACAATCTAATATAATTTTATTATTATTTCCACCACCATCCATTGACTGACTTGACGGGGTTGTATTTAACTATATCCATTTCTGTATCATCTGTATCGTCTGTATATATATATATGTTGTACGATATAATTTTGAGGGTTGAAATCTTCACCTCAGAACGACGTTGTAGTGAGGGCAATAAAATTGAAATGTGCACGAGGAGAAGTGATTGCTTGCAAATATTTTTTATTGATATTAAAAAACAAGTTGGAGGGCGGTGGAAGAACGTGGGAAAGTAAAGTTTTGTAAAATTATTAATTTATTTATATTATAATATTGTTAGTGTTAATTTAAGTTTGTTAATGTTAGGCTCTGTATTCACATGTCTTGTTACAGAGCGCACTAAGAACCGTTACAATCAAATACTACTAACATTAATTAACTTGATATTAAAATTCTGTGCGACATTTTCACTTATACTGTGCTTAGCTTGACGGCATTTTCACATTTTTCAATAGTTTTCACAAAATTGAAAAAGTGTTCCAGTGCGTTTACAGTCTAAACGCACTTGGCTAAACATTTCTACCAGAGTGGCGCTTAGACTGTGCTTAGCCTGGGTAATTTTTTCAATTTTTAATCCAAAAATGCAAAAATATTTTATGGAAAATAAAAAAAGGTGTAATAATTTATATTTATTTTCAAAAGCAATTGTTTTGTTCAAACAAGCAGAAAGTTTTTTAGATCATTCAAATCGGACGCTTAGTTCACTCAGAAACTGCCATTTTTTGCACATTCAGCTCTGTATCTTCGAAATGGCGGGACCTGTCTTTGTCAAAAGCTAATCACCTCTTCTCCCAATCATTAAAAATTGAATGTTTTTGAGATCATTCAAATCGGATGCTCCGATGTCTCAAAAACTCGATTTCTATTTTCCGCACTCTTTGTTCCGTATCTCCGTAACGGCTGAACTTGCCTTTGCCAAAAATTAATCATCACATCTCCCTATCAATAGGTATCAAATGTTTTTCAAACCTTTTATATCGGCTAATCCGTGCGCCCGAAAACGTGGACAAAAAAATGCGGACACACAAAACACACACACATCCATTTTTTCTGAGGTATGCCAAAATGTTCAGAAACCTTCAAAACGTCGAGAAATGCAAAAATTTTCATTTTGATTTTCGGCCCATTACTATAACTACCCTACGGGAAGTTAAATATATATATATATATATATTATATATAAAAAAATCTGTACGGATGTATGAATTCAAACTTTTCCTAAACAGTTATTCAAATTTTGATGAATCTTTTTGGAGATTGTTAAGATAATTGTTTAAGATGCCATGAACTATAAAACTATAACAGTATTATAGAAATAAACAGAAAAAATTGCAAAAAACAACACATCATTGTTTGTCATTTTAAAACAAGAGAACTGTATCTCACTGTATTATAAATAATAATTAGATAATAATAAAAAACTAGTGGTGTACGGCATCGGCAATTTAATTTTTTTGCTATAAAATTATTTATTTGGGAAAAAATCTTGCTGAGTTAAAATAAAAACTGAGATAATCAATAAATAAAAATACATTTATAATTTAATCTTTTTTTTTTAATTTTTCCAGATATTTTGTTGTATTTTATGGGCTTTCATAATTTAAAAAAATAGAAAATGCACTTTTTAATGAAATTTAGAAAAAGTTGAATAATTGATGTCTAAAGTCTTACACATGTTTCTTAAATAATTCCATTAAAATTTATTCATAATAATTTGTTTAAACCATTCAAATCGGTTGATCCGTGCGCCCGAAAACGTAGACGAAAAATTGTATCCATACATACATACACACATCCATTTTTTCTGAGGCATGCCAAAATGTTCAGAAACCTTCAAAACGTCGAGAAATGTAAAAATTTTCATTTTCGATTTTCGGCCCACTACTATAACTACCCTACGGGAAGTTAAAAAATATATTTAGTATATATAAAATTCTTCTCCACGGATATATGAATCCAAACTCCTCCTAAACGATTATTCGAATTTTGGTAAATTTTTTTGGAGTTTGTCAAGGAAATTGTTTAAGATGTCATGAACTATAATGAATGTTTGTCATAGAAAACATTTTAACACATGAGAACTGTATCTCACGGTATTATAAATAATAATTAGATAATAAAAAATAACTAGTGGTGTATGGCATCGTGCCTTGGGGCAAATTGCTGGTACTTACCGTACCAAAAATTTTTTTCTAAAAAGATTAACATTTACTTTAAGTATAACTCATGAACGGATTAATGGACATAATGTGCAAATATATATATATATATATATATTACATATAAAACTCTTCTGTAGGGATATATGAATCCAAACTCCTCCTAAACGATTATTCGAATTTTGGTAAAATTTTTTGGAGTTTGTTAAGAAAATTGTTTAAGATGTCATGAATTATAAAACTATAGTAATATTGTAGAAACAAATGAAAAAAATGCAAAAAACAACATATCATCCTTTGACACTGAAAACATTTTTACGCCTGAGAACTGTGTAAATAATAATTAGATTCAAGTCTTATGACATATTGTAATAGCTCTTGGTATTTTATTTAAAAATAAGTACTTGTAAGCCAGGTTCAGAAATTCTAAAAATCATTCTGTATATTTTGCTAAAATTGAAGGTACAGCTCGCAAAAAATCGATTATATAATGCAATGAATTATAAAATATAAATCGATTATAAAAAATAAAAATAAATATAAATATAAATAGAAATATATATATATATATATATAAATATAAATATAAATATAAATATAAATATTAGGTTGTCAAATATCTCCCTTCCGCTTTTTTGCTATTGGTTTATAATACAAAAAGGCGGAAGGGAGATATTTGACAACCTAATATAAATATAAATATAAATTTTAATATAAATATAAATATAAAATATTGTTAATCTGTACGTTTGGACTCTATATACGTGCCATCATTAAGCAGTTTAAAGATTTTTATTATTAGTTGATACAATAATCAGCAAAAATCCACAACGACTCATAAATCCTATAT